ATCTCACGTAACGAAAATTAAACTTCATACGACAAAAAGGTATAATTTTCAATGCTTCATGGTAAAAATGAAAACATAATAGTAATTTAACAAAAAAAAAAATATCAAATTTGTACCATCTCGGCCTATTTTTCAAATCCTAATCTAATAAGCATTTTCATGAAAATTGAATGAGAAAAGTCTAAGTTTTAACATGTGGTGATGGAAATCGACCCTTAATAGTAATTTCATACAAAAATAAGACAATGTGGTGTACGGTATTTAATGCTCAACCTTGCCCAACTATAATGTTCTTTGTTTTGCGTTAAATTTAAATAGACAAGTAAACCTCTCTCTATTCAGTGTTGTTCTGAGTATTTTTATCTTTTCGCAAAGCTGGTTGAGTTGATAAATTTGGTTTTTTTATTTCGAAAAGCATAATTTTTAAAACGTAAAGTCATCAAATTAAAGTATCAGGCAAAGAGAATAATTGATCTACGGTTCTACGGTTGGCTCCACGCCACCAATTCTTGAACTGCACTTAAAGTCGAAGACGACAGATAAACAGCAATTAAAAAAATTATATTCGGTTGTGGTCAAAGTTTCTGTTTTTATCCTAGAAAGAACTCGAGTATTGAGTGAGCGTAAATGATTTTTGCAAATTTTGTTTAGGTACCGTACGACCGCCGATGGAATATGCAAATTTTTCACTGTTCAAGTAACGCAAACACTATACAAACTATACCTACTCTAGGTTATCAGCCATGTATGTCCCTTCGTCCATATGTGACCTAATATCAAGGCATTCGAAATTGCACCTCGCCATATATACATACTTGATTGAACTTCTTTTTAGGTAAGCTAGATCACACTTGTGCTCATAGTTAAAAGAAGCTGTAACTGAACTAGTGGCGGACACTTGTATTCGCATTAGGTTGAAAATTTCTTTTATTCATAGTTTAGACTAATGGAATTAAAATGATAATAAAAATAAAGAACAGTTTCGGCAGTCCATGTTGCACAATAATTCGTGAAACGCGTTTAAGAGCAATAGTTGGCCAAGGACAATCAATAAATCCCCTACATTACTCCGCTTAACGCAATTCTTGATTTACTTTATTCACCAAGTGCCAAAAATTAGATCTTCTTGCCATATAAAGGCTTACCTTTATAGCCTACACCACTTTTGATACTGGGTATATTAATTTTTTGTAAATGTATGTGACACCCAGAAAAACTTAGATAGATCCAACTTTTATACCGATTGATTAAGAATAATTTTCTAAATCGGTTTAAATTTGTATGTCCGTCTCATCTATAAGTCGCGAGTAAGAGTATTTGGCTTTTTACCTGCTGATTTATGAGAAATTTTATATGAGAAGGAGTTTGGCAAAATAGATGTGTTTGATTCAGCATTACCTATCAATTTAGTATTCTGCACCGATTTCTATGATAAAATATCAAAGCTTTTACCTTCGTCAAATGTTAACCCGCTTTTTATACTTTACATCACTTGTAGTGCAAGAGTATATTAGTTTTATGCGGATGTATGCAAAACCCGAAAGCCCTTGGGTAGATTCACCTACGATTTAAGATCCAATCACTTCTTCGGTCGCTTCCCGCTCTATTCTGGTTTGAACGGTTGTTATATGAATAGCTGTTGATTGGTATAGCGTACTTAGTGTTTTTGTACTATGGTGTCTTTCTTGGAAGAACTTCTATATCAGTGGTTTGCAAAAAATGTTCCTATTCGAAAAAAAATTTCCACATTTATTTAGTCTGTCAAAATACTGTTTTCAAACGATTGTTGATGAAAAATGGAAAGTGTTGTTTACATAATAAATTTTTCAAAATAGGGAATTACATGGGGCGTAGTTATAGAAAATGTCTGATCTATTCCGTTTCTAAAATTGCTTTTCCTTGTGCCAAACCTTAGCATTTTATCAACATATGTCGAAAATTGCGGCTTGTAATTTGAAAACAAAAGTGCGTGAACAGATTTTAGAGAGGTAGATGGCATGCTTAAATTGCTACAGAAAATAATTCTGAGTCGATTGTTATAATGAAAGTGGGGAATCTATCTCAAGTTGTTCCGCGTATTGCATAGTACCACACAAATTTAATAGATCCTTATCGTAAGTGATGCAGTGAAGTATATAAAAATTTGAAGCCTTTTTTTTCGCTTGGCCGTAGAGAGAAAATGTCTCTAAAAAATATAAACGACAAGCATCCAATAAAACTTGTTATATTCATCTTTATCTAATATTTTATCATTATATCTTATCGTTTGCAAAATAATTCTTGTCCTCATCATCAGTAATGATGATTGACTGTTTGTTTGTATTTGCTCTTGCTGTTGCTCTTGTTGATTTAGATAAGTGGAAAATTCAATTTGTATTCAAATAAAGCACAACCAAGTAGCAAATAGTAACACCAACAATAACGAGCCAAGTATTGTGCAACAACTACATGAATAGTGAGTGCAGCATACAAATATCATTGCACAAAAGAAGAAGAAGCTTATCAACACATTGTCATTTGACTGTTGTGTAGTAGCTGCTCATCAAACCTATTGTTGGCGTTGTGATGCGGTTTTTATACAGAATATATTGCGGCTGTACGTTCTTGCTTCGCATCTATCTCCGTAAACATTTTACATCAACAATATTTGTAATATAAATCTACATAATTTACTTTTCATTGGTTCTCATGCAGTTAGCGCGTCATGCGAAGAAGGAAAATAAAAGAACGAACGAAAGTAAGGTGATGTACTGCTTAAGTTAAACAATAACAAAAGGAAAAAGTTGATGGCATTTGCGTTAAGATACATCTTCAGAGTTATCTATATTGTTCCGTATTGAAGCGCGTTTGAGCAGTGACCGTTCATAGATAATTTAAAAAAATAAACATTGGTAAAATAGTCTGCTGGCTTACGCATAAGAGTGAATAGAAAGCGAACTCGTATTTGACTGCCATATCAGTTAACAGCGAAAATATTTAATGGATCTAATTTTCATCTGCGGGACGTTGCTGAAACGGAGCGAAGTTAGACTAATACCCTTAGAGGTTAATAACGGACGATGAAGAGCTGTTCAATTACGATAATAATCTGCGAAAAGATTGTAGGAGAGAGTGTATATAGAAGACAGCATAGCTCTCACTGACTTCACAAAAGGTAAGGCCTTGTGTTTGAGAGAATTGAAAAGGTTTCGTTCATCGTTCAAGTGCTGCTCCAACATGACCAAGAGATTGATTTAATTTTCTACTGTCAACAATTAATGCGATGAAATCGCGCAACTCAAAATCAATAAGAAAGGCGACGAAACCTTCAGAAATTGATAAACTTTTGCTGACAGCTGAATTCTAGGTTTACACAGATCCGTGAAAATTACTTGGTACAGCTTTTCATCTAGAAATTACAGAATTTTGTGCAATTATGGCGTAATCGCTTTAGCGGAAAAATTGCAAAAGATTACCAATCAAAATGACACAAATTTTTCTTCTGCTTGAATTTCAGTTCGTGACCACGATCTTTTACCGTAAATTCAACTTGGAGAAGTAAATAGGACTAATGGTCCTTGAGCTGGGTAGCAGATGTCTATCATTTAGGGTAAATCTACAAAACTTGCTCAGTTCGCTCTGATACTTATACATGTGGAAGTATGCGAACAATTTTATGAGGAGCTCTTTTATATAACTTGTACCAATTTACCATTTTATCTTGTATGTGATAAGCTCTTAAACAAAAATTTTTTAAACATTTTCACTTCTTCTCTATAATTAGTTGTTCAATTCTACTATTAAAAGATATCATTTAAATAATATCAAAAATGTCTTTTCTTGCACGGGACGTATATTTACTACGGTTCTACGGCGTGGCATGCCAAATGTGACAATATAATATAAGAGAACTCACTTGCATGCTAACCTATTTTGAAATATATATTTCATTTTGCTTGGTACGCCACATAATTTCAATGATGTATTGTAAAGTTCACAAAAAAACAACTACAACAAAAAAAGCATCCAATTCCGCTTACGTACACTTCTTTGATTGCTTTTGCCCTCGTTATTCAATTTGCATTTTAATGCTCAACCAGTCCTCATCATATTCTTAGCTATTTTATTTACATATATAATTTTTTCCTTTAAAACGCTGCATCATGCTACCATTTCTCTTCCATTGCCAATTCACCGTTCTTTCGCTTCTCTCTCACTATTTAGGTGGGCTGAGCTGACTGCTCATACCGTTTTGCAATCATGTCATGGAAATTTTTTAAGCATTGAATAATGATGCAGAAAAGCTCTTATCATTGAATGTGCAGAAAAAATTCCAAAACATCATTCAAAACATTTAAAATTGTGCAATGCAAGTTAAAAGGAATAAAATAAATAAAAGTAAAATAAAAGATGAAGATGAAAGGGAACAAGAAGAAGAAG